AAAGTATGTGGATGTTTCATGTTAAAACAGATGTATCTGTCCCAGCAGAGTTGGTGAAGAGAGCATGGTTCAGGTAAGAGGAAGGTAACTGAGTCCCAAATAAGGTGCATCGTAGAGGCCCACAAGTTATTATCATTAAATTCCCAAGAAGTGGTGCACAACTTTCCATGCCAGGAAATAAATGAGACGAAAAAGGTTCACAGGCAGAATATGGCAATTTCAGACCTTGGGAAAACGAAACTTTGCAGTACAACTTCCAGAATCTCCAGCAGGTATGTTGGCTGAGAGATTATTTAAAAGTAACATTTCCAAGCACCAGACCACTCTTCAGCACAGTGACTGTGGAAAACCAACAAACCCGACAAATCAGCTTGAATTATAAAGCAAACAGTGTGACTGAAACTGTGTTATCTGAGCTGTATTAACTGGATAATATTAATGTTTAACAATCAGGAAACACATGAGAACTACGTAAAGCTGGAAACAAAACAAAACAAAAATCCTTTTGTTTTTCAGAACCACTTGTCCAAGGTCTAGTTTAATTTTATAACACAGAACAGAAGGAATATAAAATATACTACAAGGGAGACAAAACCTGCACAAATTCATTGAGCTTAGTGGCTAAAGGTCTGAGCCAGGAAGTCATGTCAGTTGTGGTCAGTGGTCCTTGGCAAGCTATTATTTCTCAAGAATCATCTACCAAGAATGTTAAATACATTATAGCCAATAGCGACCTTATTTACCAAGATAACAAGTACTTCAAATCTATGAAAAATCCTTACAAATGCTTAGCTGTTATACTTCTACATTTGTTAATTCTTGTTGATGACGAAAACAAGAAATACTGTTTAACTAGAAATTACATTAGAATTGAAGGAGAAGAGAACTTTTATTTTGCCTGTTTTCCCCTTATTGGATTTATAAATCATGATAAACCAACAAACAGTTCTCCAGTCTTTCATTATGATCTGTGGAAAGATCTCTCAGGCGAGCAAATGAGATGAGTAGCTTTGTCTAAGCCTGTAACATTTCCCCTATATTTTAGATTGGCTTTTTAAAATGATAACTGATGCCATGATCTTTTCTGTATGGAATCTAATTTTGTTTTGTGAGAATTTTATGTCCGTTTGTTACTGGCTTATTTTAAAATATGTATGTGCATGTGCGTATGTATATACTTAAACCCATATATTAAGCAATTTTTAAAAAGTATTGTTTTATACCAGATGCCAGCAAGAATTGGTTCCAACATCTCCATATTTTCAAGCTCTTTTCCATTATCTTTGGGATTGCAAACAAACTTTCATTTTCTTTCAATAATGCCACATAGTTAAGAATATCAATAATACACAAGCCACTTTCTAATCCCATATTTCTCTCACACACTCTCTTTCTTCTTCATTTAAACATATCATGTTGTGATGTATGTCCTTTAACTTGATGCAGCAAGCTTTCTTCAGGTTTCAATAATGCCACATAGTTAAGAATATCAATAATACACAAGCCACTTTCTAATCCCATATTTCTCTCACACACTCTCTTTCTTCTTCATTTAAACATATCATGTTGTGATGTATGTCCTTTAACTTGATGCAATATTGCTGGTGGGTATCTATTGTTGAAAACTTAGCAAGCTTTCTTCAGGTTACCTCTCTCTCTCTCTCTCTCTCCTTCTCCTTCTTCTTCCAATTGAGCTAGCACTGACATTCACTGCACCTGGGATTTCCAGCTTGTAAATTCATTCTGTAGACAAGCAGCCAGCTGGGAGTGTCACTGACAACAGGCTTCTTCTTCTTCTTCTTCTTCTTCAAATTGAGCTAGCACTGACATTCACTGCATCTGGGATTTCCAGCTTGCAAATTCAGACCATCATAGCAAAAGTGGCTAGAAAACTATACAGTACAGCCATCAATCTATGTTGCTGTTTTGAGTTGTTAATAACTGTGTGCTTTATCCACCATTCAAGACCTCCAAATATCCAGAGAGTTCTCAAAAGAACCACTACCACCACGACAACAACGTCTGTGGCTTGGCTGCATGCACCTTCATGTGTTAGCGAGTTCATTTATTGCAGCACTCGCATGGTATGAAGCAAGCCAGCAGAAGCAAGGAATTGCGGCAATTCAAGCAGAACATGATGAAAAGCACATCTAAGAGCCCTTAACAAGATGCTGAAGCTACATTGATCACAGCCTGGAAAGATTCTCAAGACGGTATGATGACAACTTGATTAGGTTTTGCCTGAAAAATGTGGCAAGAAAGATCAGAATCAAACATAATTCCCAAGCTCAAGGGGTGGGGAAACGAGATTCCAACTGTAAGATCAGAACAACAATGCAGCTCATGGTTGCCAAGGCGTAGCTGAAAACAGAGCAAAATGTAGATGAAAGAAAGGCTGCCAGCTTTTAAACTGTCTTTGCTCTCACACTTTCAATAGCATTCTAAACATGTGAAAGGAATCCCCTTCCCCTGGTGTGGTAACAGCTCACGTGTATTCACGATCTCCACACATGTACCTTGGCAGTATGGCTGCCTGCTTCTCTGTGGCAATTTTAGCATGAATAGCATGAAATGCAGTGGCTTGCATAAGTCAGAGGGCAATTATACAGTCAATTACTATGGGATTTGCTCCACTTATAAAACAGGTGAATTTGATTTTTTTTAAAAAAATCCACATGACATACAAGGCTCTTTTGAATTGGTTCAGCCTATTTAAATCCAAGCCAGATGTTTTTTCCCCTGCCTCGAGAGGACTACAACTTTTTCATGATGGGAGGACTTGATCTGGCTCTTTTCACTGCAGTTGCAATTGTAAAGATGCCAGCGGGGCGCGACTGTGTCTGTAGTGGCTTTTCCCCCTCTGCTACAGGGGTGCTTCTACTTTTTCAAGCAAGAATGATTTGAGCAGGATTTCCCCATATGGAAGTTGTGATACATTCTTGTAAAGATGGGAGGGAGGTGTCTCTTGGTACTGTTTTGTTGACAGGCAGTTGAGGCATGATGTTTAGGCCTGGGAGGGACATGCAAAAGCAAAGCACTGTGATTTTAATGTGGGGGAATCAGGTGCTAGGCCTGAATCCTGTCAGATCATCTGGGAAGGCCCTTCTATTGGGGAGCAAAAGCTTAGTATTGTTAATTACTTAATTGGCAGGTCTGAAAGTGTTATTAAAACCACCTCACCTATCTCATCCATTACTCTTTCCCCTTATTTTCAATGTCAGGAAGAACAACCTTCAGAACACGGCCCAGGAACCCAAAAACCCCACAACAACCATCAATACATGCAGGAATTGCGTAATCTCTAGTCACATATGGTTTCAAACTACTGGCATGATAAACTGTGATCAGAGGTGATATAATTTGCTGCATGTGTTAGTTGAAAGTAAGGGAAAGAAGTACAAGTTGGGAAAAGAATGGTGGTGCTCCCTGTTATGGAATCATTCTGACATGTGAATTATGATACTGTTCAAATTCTTGACGTTCTGCACTCTTTTACTGTGAAGTACCTTTCCATGTTATTTTTCCACAGAAAGTTTTTTGAGAAATGTTGTAGTCTGAAGCTTTAAATGAGAAAGCAGCTTCACAGCAAACCATAAAAGGGTCGAAAGAGACAGGATCACAAGAAAGAAGGAAGGCTGTGGTCTGGAATGTAACTTGCATTTAGAAGCCCAAAAGAAAGGTTGCAGGGTAGTTTTCGGGATAGCCCCCAGAAAGGAACCAGTGTCTCCACTAGTGCTACCTCCAATGAATCCGGTAGCAACTCCAACAGCTTGAGTATCAGCAAACCTTTATTTTTGTATGAAGGTAGCTTTACCTACTATGGTTTCTAGTAAAGGCACAGGAGCAGGATCATTTAAAAAAAAAGGTGACAATGCAAAATATATCCCAGAAATAATTAACCCGCACCTCAGTTATGAGCACATTTCTTGAGAATGAAACCCCAGTAATGTCAATGAATCTTCCGCATGGTAAAAGATTTAAGATTACAGACCAGTGCTGCAATTCTGTTTTAAAATCCAATGAATGGGAAAGTTAAAATAGGCCACCAAGAGTAAAAACAGCAGTGGTTTCAAAGAACTATATACACTGCTTCAGTACATTTTCTCTCTCATAATCAGGGAAATCTACAATAGATGTATCAGTAATTCTACAACATGATTCCATACCCACTTTCCTGGATATTTCCTAAACTGAAATGGGAGTTAGCTTCTGAATAGAAATAAATAGCACTGTGCTGTAGAGGTGCAATTTCCAAAAACACATTCTTTCATTTTGGCAAGGTGGATGTATGAAGAGCTGGGCCTTAGTTAATTTTATATATAATTCATCCTTCTGAACCCCATTTCATCCTTCATTCAAAGTCTCCATCTCGACTATGGAACATTGTGCTGGACTGTAAAGCAGAGAACTCCCTTCATTTGAATAAAAAATAGGATGCAAGTAGGGCTAGGATATTATCAGAGCAGAATGACTTGTGGAAGCAAATTGAATGTTAGGACCCCCCACTTAATTTAAGGGAGTTGAGATCCCAGCATTATAGAAGCAGAGCCTTTAGAGTTAAAGTGGAAACATTTCAATAAAGACAGCTTTTTAAAATAGTGATGGGAGAGTGATGTGGAAGGAGTACAGGAGTCTGCAAAAAAGCACCAGCCATTTGATTCTACACATAAAGAAAAGGGGAATGCAGCTGAAATGAAAAGCATTCCTTTCAAATACCCATTCTGGGCCATTCATGCTTACTTGAATATCACCCCGCACAGGTTCCACACAATTTATGTGCACCATTTGCTTTCTGCTGAGCAACATTATTTCCATAATGAATATAGAATGGTGTAAAACTAAAAGGGATACAAGCCCTACTGCATTTCCCCCCACCACTTCCAGAATTAAACCTGTCTCTGTCACTTGTCTTTCATTTTGTAACTCCACAAGGCCATTTCCTCTTCCTCAGTTGCCTCCCCACCCCCACATCTGCTACTGTCCTCTCATTATGATCTTACCGAGGAAGAGAATTGTCTGTTTCCTGGATGTTCTGCCATCAGGATTCTCCGTTTTCCGTAGATACTGATGTTGGCTTTCTGTCTCCCCTCTCACAGCCAAAGTCCCTTGCTTGTGCATCGTAAGAGCTTTCCTCATTTTGTGGCACATGAAAGCTACAGACACCAACACCACAGTATAAACAATGAAGGCAGTGAAGATAGTAGACTGGAAGACTGTCCATCTGGAGGACAAGTTGGTGCATATTGTTACATTTGACCTTAGGTCAGGCATGTGGTGCCGGTTCTTAGCCTTGGTGCAGGGAACTAATCCTTGATGACCCTTGATGATTTCCAAGGGGTACTCTGTGCCCATGGCAAAAAGAAGGGGCAGGGCCACCAGAACAGATGTCAGCCAGACAAAAGCAATGAGGATCTTCACTTTGCAGGGTCCAGAAGCAGCTTTGAACTTGAACGGGTGGCAGATGGCAATGTATCGTTCAAAGCTTAGAGTTGCCACATGTAGCACCGTAGCATAACTGCAGGCCTCGAAAAGGAAGCAGTACAGCTTACAGGCTAGGTCACCTTGAGGGGTTGAGAAAGGGCTCCATATCATGCTGTAGAACTCCACAGGCATCCCCAGTAAGATGACCAGTATGTCCGAGCAGGCCAGACTCACCATGTGATCTGTCACTTCCTTCTGCAAGTAGCCATTCTTCTGTAACAGTCTGGTCGTCTGGATGGTGACACTATTGCCCAGGATGCCTGCCACAAATATGAGGATGTAGATGACTGCCAGGCTGATCTTGATCCACTCAGCAACTTCAAAATCCTTAACATGGCTGTCATCGATTATATCCCAACAATATGACTGGTCATCTTGGGTCGACATATTGTAGAACTAGGTACAGAAATGAAGGTCAGGAGAAGGGAGGGATGAGATCAGAACATCTCCCAGTAGCCTTCTAGTTAGCCCAACATCCTTATAGATTTTTAAGCTCCATCTAAACAACTCCTCAGAAGTAAAATGTACTGAATTCACTGAGGCTTAATTCAAATTCTAAATAAGCAAACTCTGGATTAAAAGCTCTAGCAGCAATTGACTTACCTACACTCACAGACACTCAGCTACTTTTATTTCCTATTTGAATCAGTACTCCTTCCAAGTCACATTACTCACAGGAGTAATTTAACTCAAAGGAGTTAAATAAAATCTTAGTTGTTACTAAAAAAAAAAGAAAGAAATATTATTCCTTACAATATGGCTTCTTTTCTGCACTCTGTTCTTCCTGAAACGCTGTTGAATGCCTCTCTTTCTCTGTATTGGTAGTTAAGCCCTCAACTTCTGCAAGTCACTTCTTGTTACTTGCTGTCCCAGACAGCTCCTAGTGAGAGTTCCGGGTGGCTGATAACAACGCCCAGTCAAACATTAACTTCTGACTGAATTGCAGAAGGGATGTGGTCACTGATTAAAAATGAGATAAAGCAGGTAGGAAAGGAATGAAGCAACTCTGATTCACAATAAGCAGGTTGACTTTCCCTTCTCTTCCTGAAATTTGACCTCTTCTTCCCCTTCAAATGACTATTAAGTAAAACAGGGTTGAGAGGGAGGGAGTTGCATTATTGCAGAAGGAACCAGCACAGGCTACTCAATGTTTGATGCATTTTTAAAATTCCTGTTTATTGCATTTCAAGTGGGTGGAAGGTAGTGCTCCCTGTTGGTTAAACTGAGGTTTTACATTTCTCTCCCTCTTCTATGGGGACAACTCCCCATTTATGGTAATTTAACCATGGAAAAAGGGAAGATGATTGCCTTGAGCGTCAGGTTTAAACAGCATGTGAACATGGCATGAGATGAAAAATGGAAACTCTTTGTCAATGACTGTTGATCCCAAAGCTCCTTTAAGTACGGTCACTTCTTAAATAAGTGGTGTTTTGTACTCTTAAATGCTTCATGGAAATTAACAGGTAAACCCTTCTTTGCTACAGTGATACAAGGAAGGAAAAAAGTTTGACATAAATATATCCTTGTGATGCATCTATGAAAAACAAAGAGTTTGTCTTTAAAATCTGTGAAAAGCACAGTCTGTGTTTTTTAAAAGCACTCACCATTATATTACTCTCAGGGCCAGTTCAAGACATTTTGTTGCTCAAGGCAGAGTAACATTACCCACTCACCAATGTGCATAGTCCCCAAATATAGCCAAGTAATTCTGGCACATGAGCCAGTACCTTCTTCCCAGTAAATGTAAATTAAATGACAAACCATAAACTATTCTTACATGATTGTGTAAAGCTGCTGCCTGAGATGGCTTCTTCACTCTTCCTGATGGTAGGGCTGGCCCTGAATGTTTTTATTATAGGAGAGATGGTCCGGCTATCACAGAGCTGTTAAACTCGGTAGGCTCTGTGCGTTTCAAGAGCTGGCAATTCACTCAGTAAGGCAGCAACGGAGGCTGCAACCCTTATCACCAATCATTATTAATTAGCAATAGAAGAGGGATTGAAATCTGAAACTTCAGTTGAACCAAACAGGGAGCACTAGCTTCCACCTATTTGAAATGCAATAAATAAGAAAGAAAACAAAATGTATCAAACATTGTCTCTCATCCCTGACTCATGTATTCACTGTGTGCTGTTTGTCTTTTCTGTCTTTACAGATACAGCAACTTTGTTAATAAGCCTGCAAAAGCTACTTGACTGCAGTACATATGTATACTAACACTGTGTACTAACCTGCTGGAGACCAGAAGAAGATGCACAGAAAATCGCATTTTTATGTGGGGTGTGCAGGATAAAGTTTCATCTTCTAGCAGCCTCTTATTGGCCAAAATCCTGTTGCTCAGTTTTCTCAATGGGGATTTGGTAAGTCAAATCCTCCATAAGTGCGATGATTTAAATGACTTAACTCTTAAATGAAACTTACTATACTAAAGTAAGTTGCAACCACTGTATTATAGGCCCATTTGAATCAATTGTGCTTATGGAAGAGTTGATTCACCAAAACCCCATTGATTCAATGGGCCTACTCTAGTGTGAGGTATTACGCTAAGCAAGAGGATTGTTGCCATTGTATGAAACTCAGTCTACAAAGCACTCATCCATTGCCAAGAGCATTTAGTTCCAAATAACATTATTGCTGACAAAGGCAAGTCAGTAGCCACAATAGTTAGTCATAGCTAAAAGATCTCCATTGAATGAATCCAATTTGGTCAATCAACATTTATATAAAATTCAGTGATTCATGAGACTACTTTATTTGAGACAAAACTTGTAGGTTGTTTTTTAAAAAACAAACAAACAAACAACACAATCCCTTCTCTGAATCGTGGTCATTTTTCATTTGAGTACTTTGTAATACTAAGTGTAGACAGCAGATAGTTTTCAAAATATTTTGACCTCTGCTGGGAATTAGACAAGGGGAGTGTGTCCACGTTGGTTCTACTAAATCTCTCAGTAGTTTTCAATACCATTGACCATGGTATCCTTCTGGACTGTCTCTCTGGGATGAGACTTGGAGGCACTATCAAGAGGGTGGGACTGACAGCAAAGCCTCTCCTGATGATTTTAACACTCAGGCAGACTCATAATGGGAGATGCTGTCTTTGAGATAGATTGGACCCAAGTTGTGTAGGCCTTTATAGGTTAAAACCAGCACTTTGAATTTTGCCCAGAAATATATTGGCAGCCAGTAGCAGCGAGGTTATGTGATCCCCGTGACCAGCTCCATTTAGCAATCTGTTTGCCACATTTTTGGACTTGCTGAAGCTTCCTGACATTTCCCAGAGGTAGTTCCACATAGAGTGCATCACAGTAATCCAGCCAGGATGTAACTAAGGTATGTATCACTGTGGCCAGATGAGAACTCTCCAGGAATGAGTGCAGTTTGCACACTTGTTTTAACTGTGCAAATGCACTCCTGGCCACCACCAAAGCCTGGGCATCCAACAGTAAACTAGTTTATAAACATCACTAATTCAGTAATAGAGTGATAAGGTGATCTCATATATGCCATTTTTAAAAAAATCAGCCAATAACCAGGGGAAAAGAACATGGAGACTTGTCTTCTTATGGTCCTGAACATCATGCCCCATCTGCCTCCATCCCCAAAGCACGTGCGTGCACACACACACACACACGTTTACAAGAGTGAATCAACTGATCACACAGGAAGGTCTATCTGAATTTTTCCAGCTTGAACAAAGTAGAAGCCCCCTGTGGAAGAGAAAAAAGGGCATGATGGAAGCAAAAAGGGCTACATCAATTTGAATCAGGCTTTGAGTCATATGATCAGGAAAAAAAATACTCACCATGTGATCAGTCATTTCCTTCTGCAAGTAATCATTCTTCTGTAACAGTTTGGTTGTCTGAATGGTGACACTATTGCCCAGGATGCCTGCCACAAATATGAGGATGTAGATGACTGCCAGGCTGATCTTGATCCACTCAGCAACTTCAAAATTCTCTGAATCAATCCATACTATAATTGCAGCAAATTCCACAGCATTTGATTGTGTATTCATAGCCATAGTGAAATGTGGAATAAATTCTGTGTAGAAATGATTATTCAATAGTATGTTCTGCATTTCCTCTCTTTTCTCGCAAGCTATCACAAATAATATACACAGTTCAAATCAGGTATATTCCTTTGAGACCAGAAGGGATATTTATGGTTTTATTTTCTACATTCCACGTTCTTGGTAGCATCTGGAAAGAAGTATATATGTACATATATATTAGCATACCTTCATGTTCAAATGCTACTCCCTTTCTTGCACAAAGAAAAGTAACTATGACCTGCTAAGACACTATTAATGCTGCAGTATTAAAACACACTTCCTACTGGGTCACTGCCACTAAACATTGTTGGACCAACTTCTGGCCAGATGTATCTCAGGTTGTTTTGTCAACCTACTACACAAACATTGAAAACAAGTGCCACCCGTTAACAAATGCTGATACACTAAGCTTGCCTTTTATCTGTTCATAAGAGTGAAGCAGAAATTAAGTCACTATCATATTCAATGTGGTTATCTTCCCACCTGAAAGCCCTGATGAAGAAAAGTAGGCAAATAATCAGCACCTGCTTCCAATTATTATTTATGAGTGCTATGGGTTGGGGGTGTGTGTTTTTCCTTCTAATCTTTGTAGTACTTCAAGCCCTGTTGCTCCAGTCTTCCTCTGTTGTCTTTGATAATTCAAATTTGTTCTGCTCAGACAACCTTTATATTATTGCCCAATTTCTTTCATTTAATTTTACTTTCTAAAAGTGTGAACAGAGATTGCATATGCATGGCTGAGTTGTAGAAATGAAACAAATTAAAATGTGTTGGTTACCAGGGGCTGAGGAGGGAAGGAAATATGAGCCTAAGAAGATTGTGTTTTCCCCATAACAATTATTAAAGAAATGCCACAGTTTAGTTCTATTAGTTCTGTAACAAGTGCAAGCAGATGTTATTAATAATATATATTTTCTATTGGAGGTGGCCAGATACAAAAAAAGGGCATGGTTCCTATGCATTCTATAATAGGAAAGAAAAGTTGAGCAGGTATCGCTGTCCATGCAAGCTTAATGTGCAGAAACTCTTCTTCCATGCCAGGGTTTCTCAACTCTGTCTAACAACCCATCAAGTCAGTCTGTCAAGGAACCTGAGTCCCATCGCGGAATAAAAGCTCACATTTTCAGGGCAGGATGTGTGAAGGATATGCCGTCATAGGCATTCAGTTCTTGTATGCTCAGTGATTACTTTATGGTACAACGTACTTATGGTAAGCTGGTGGGCAGTGGAAAAACAAAGGGTTTGGAGAAGCATTAAAGCTTTCCTACTATGGTGTCAAAAGGTCATAGAGTATAATCTATGAGAAGCAGGCCAGTTGGAGACAGTATGTCAACCTGCAGGAAGATATGAAGACTGACAAACACTGAATTCTTCATAATTGTTACATCGACCTTGCAGCCCACCTAGACCACTGCTTTCTTCACCAGCCGTACATGTACACAACTATTTCAAGTGCAGTAACACTTTCATCTCTTGCATCTGGCCGCCCTATTCCACTCCAAAACAGAAAGATGGGCTGTAGATCTCCAGGACCACAGTGTGCTGTTTTACATTATATGTCCACATACAAAGCTTATGTGGAGATTGGGGAGCAATCCCTTCTTGGACACATTGACAGAAGTGATAAACACAACTCTTCCCTCTTTGCATGGACTTTAAATAGAGATAAAAATGACTAAATAAGGCCACTATTAATCACTCAAATATTGGCCAGAATCCTGTTGGTTAGCATAGTACGTGGCAACTTTGCTACTTACCGTGTGGAAGTTATGGAGGAGTTGACTCATCATATTTTATATTTCTTATTTATAGGTT